AGCAAACAACAGAGACTAATGAGATCAAAAGTGGTCGACAGATGCGAGTTACTCGAGGAGTTGGTCGAGGGAGAATGGTCGGATAGGGCGTGGTCGTACAGAATTGGTCGAACATCGGAGCGCACAAAGGAATCCCTAGCACGTGAAAGAGAGGACACGCGGCGTGCTATGAGTGGGCAATAGCTATAACGAACTCTGACATTCTCTGACAAATGGGACGCATTTCCTGACACCAAGGATAGTGGAGGCGCGCGGTTGTACGGACGAGCAGAGGACAGTTGGCCGAACTCGGCCTACTCGCGCGTGTAGAACAGGTAGCTCGCCCTTATAAATAGGGGCGAGAATCCTCACTTTGAACACAATCTCTTATACTCTCATATATTTACTGATATACTTTCTCTCTCAAACCGGTGAGGGGAACGAGCTTAGGGTGATTTCCGGCCGGTCGAGGTGCGAGACTTGTATTAGATTTAGGCTGGAATTTGATGCTAAGAAGTTTATTCTTAGCAAGTTTGGAACATTCCTTGGTCGTGGTTATCTCGACAAGGGTTTGTTCAAAATGAATGTAATGGTCGTGAGCCGTGTAACCGTTTCCAATGATAATGAAAAGCCTATTTCTGTTTATACTGTCGAGTGCTCTGATTTATGGCATATTGGATTTGGACATGTAAATCTAAATGCAATTAAACGGTTGATGAATTTAGAATTAATTCCTAATTCTGAAATCGAATCACATAAGAAATGTGAAATTTGTATTGAAGAAAAAATGGCTAAGTTACCTTTTCACTCGGTGGAAAGGAATACTGAACCATTAGGCTTGATCCAAACTGATGTATGTGATATGAAAAGTGTGCAAACAAGAACGGGTAAAAAGTATTTTATTACTTTTATCGATGATTGCACAAGGTTTTGCTACTTATATTTGTTAAGAAGCAAAGATGAGGCTGTGAAAGCATTTAAAGTCTATAAGACCAAAGTTGAAAATCAACTCGACAAAAGGATTAAAATAATCCGAAGTGATAGGGGTGGAGAGTATGTAGCTCCTTTTGAACAAATATGTTCTGAATATGGCATAATTCATCAAACGACAGCCCCCTATTCTCCGCAGTCGAACGGTGTTGCTGAACGCAAAAATCGAACTTTAAAAGAAATGATGAATGCCATGTTGATTAATTCAGGATTACCACAGAACATGTGGGGGGAAGCTGTTTTAACAGCAAATCATATCCTGAACAAAATATCACCTAAAGGTAAAGATGAGACTCTTTACAAAATGTGGAAAAATCGTAAGTCGTCTTATAAATACCTGAAAGTGTGGGGTGTTTGGCTAAGGTTTCAGTACCTGATCCCAAACAAGTGATAATCGGACCAAAGACGGCCGATTGTGTATTTATTGGATATGCGTACAATAGTACAACATATACATTTCTAGTTCATGAATTAGAAAATCCAGAGTTATCTGTGGGTACATGATTAAGTCGAGGAATGCATTATTCTTTGAGAATATTTTTTCTTTGAAGGAAAGGGCAAAATCTAGTTCTAATAAACGAACATATGAAACTGCTAGTGGTTCTGTACCAGAGAGTACTAATGAAGAACTGAGACGTAGTAAAAGGGTAAAAACGGCTAAAACGTTTGGACCTGGTTTTATTACGTACATGTTGGACGATGAACCGAGTTCCCTTAAGGAAGCTCTGTCCAGCCCAGATGGACCACTCTGGGAAGAAGCTGTAAATAGCGAAATCGAGTCCATTATGCAAAATCATACTTGGGAGTTGGTTGATCTCCCTGATGGTTATAAACCTTTAGGATGCAAGTGGATCCTAAAGAGGAAATATAAAGATGAAGGATTGATTGATAAGTTTAAAGCACGATTGGTGGTCAAAGGCTTTAAACAAAAGGAAGGGTAAGATTTCTTCGATACCTATTCACCAGTTGCGCGTTTAGCGTCGATAAGAGTGCTTCTCTCGATTGTTGCTTTGCACAATCTTGAGATTCACCAAATGGATGTCAAAACAACATTTTTGAATGGTGAATTGGAAGAAGAAATATACATGGAACAACTTGAAGGGTTTGTTGCACCTGGACAAGAGAGAAATGTGTGTAGATTAAATGGCATTTGAAATTTGATGACGTGATGTTGACAAATGATTTCGAAATCAACAAATGTGATAAATGTGTTTATGTCAAGAGTACATCAAATATATTTGTGATTGTATGTCTATATGTAGACGATATGTTGATCATGAGGAGTAGCCATGAAGTGATCATGGATACGAAAAGAATGTTGAAAAGAAATTTTGACATGAAAAATATGGGTTTGGCTGATGTTATTCTTGGAATAAGGATTATCAGAACCCAAGATGGAATTGTCTTGTCACAATCTCATTATGTAGAGAAAGTGCTCATGAAATTGGATACCTATGACGGTGCACAGTCTAGGTGTAAGACACCCCTTGATCTCAGTATAAATCTGGAAGTCAACAAAGGTCAACCAGTGACTCAGTTGGAATATTCACGGATAATAGGGAGTCTGATGTACTTGACGAATTGTACACGACCAGACTTGGCCTATCCGGTAAATAAGTTGAGCAGATTTATGAGCAATCCCAGTCATGAACACTGGAATGCTTTAAGAAGGGTACTTAAGTACTTGAGGTACACCCTTGAATACGGGCTAAAATACACAAGATATTCAGCCGTACTTGAAGGGTAATGTGATGCAAGCTGGATATCAGATTCGAGAGATTCTCGCTCCACTAGCGGATATGTTTTCTGTATTGGAGGAGGTGCAGTTTCGTGGAAATCCACAAAACAAACGTGTATAGCTCAGTCAACGATGGAATCGGAGTTCATCGCTTTAGATAAAGCTGGTGAAGAAGCCGAGTGGCTAAGAAATTTTTTATCCGATATTCCATGTTGGGATAAGAATTTGCCGCCTGTGATGATTCACTGTGATAGCCAAGCTGCTATAGGTAGGGCGCAAAGCAACTTGTATAACGGTAAGTCTAGACATATTCATCGTAGACATAATACCGTACGTCAATTGATCACAAATGGTATTATTTCCATTGACTATGTGAAGTCTAAGGAAAATTTGGCTGATCCTTTGACGAAAGGATTGAATAGAGATCAACTGACAGTTTTGCTAGAGGGAATGGGCTTAAAAATCCACAATACAAAGAACGATCATAGTGGTAACCCTACCATGCTGAGTGAAGATCTCACAAACTTGGTTCAAAGGGAAAACTAAGCTATGAAAATTCAGTCAAACACTTGGAACATATGAATGTCCAAAGCTATTCTTTAAAGCACTCCAAGTGAAAGATTACCTATTGATTGTGGTGAGGGTAAGTCATATGGACTTTTACTGAATCCCTAACCTTGTAAAGGTGGAGTACGACAGGATACTCTTGATAGGGAGGTCACCTATATAAGTGTAAAGTGTGGGCCGCTTCAATTGTAAACACTTATGAATCCATTGTGTTGTCCATGACCAAAACGGACACAACGATAGAACGGAATGGAGTTAAAACTCTATTGTGTGAATGTCATTGTCTCGGTGTACACTATGGAGGAATAGTTCAAGGCATTATGTCCACTAGGCCGCCAGTGCATCCGATGATGTTTACTAAGAAAGGTTCAAAGCCAAAAGCTACCCTTTCTGATGCTATAGAGTTTTGTGAGGATTGAGCACAATAGCTTGTATATATTTACACTTTTGTGCGGGATTATTGGAAAAAGTGTAAAAAGGGGCGGTGCCTGCACATGCATCCGCCCCACTTGAAAAAAAATAAAAATAAAAAAAAATTATTGAAAGTTTTGGGGCGATGCCACATGCAGCCGCCCCATTTGCATAAAAAAAATAATAATATGTATATTTAATAATTTTTTAAAGAAAAGTTAGGCCAATTTGCCTAATTTCAGATTCCCTCAAATGTTATAAATAGAGGGAGTTCGGAAGGAAGAAAGACACAAAAAGAAAGGAAAAGAGAAAGGAAAGAAAAGATAGATACATGTCTAAATATCGGACGTAAAAATATCAAAAGAGAAGAAACAAGTAATATTTTTATTTGTTTTATGATATTCCTTTTATTTTTAAGTGCTCAATTCTCGACTCTGTTCTAGTTTGCCGGAGCTCGTAAATCTGGTGTGCTACAGATTTAGAGATGTTTGCCGTTGTATCTATGAGGAAGTTACGCCTGAACCGTTAGCAACACACGGAGCGTATTCTTCTTGCGGAAAGATTTTACTCGCCTCGGCTAAAATCTTTCTGTTTTTCAGTTGTTATTTATTTTTCAGTCAAATTGTAATTTTCTATTTATAGATCTTTTGTAAGAACTGAAAAATACATATCAGTTCCTAGGATTCCCGTGTAATTTCACACCAAATATCCAACAGTATTTACTATTACTAAACTGATGGGATAAATGAATATAATATAAATATAAATATAATAAAAACTACAATTTTACAGCACCATAAGATTACTAATTTGTCTAAATAATTACGAAATATTTTTGTCGGGTTATAATATGCTATTTCATTTTTTTTTATATTAAAACATCATTATGTTATTTTAAAAAAAAAAGTATATTAAGAGCTCATTTTTCTCTATTTTATTTTGACAATGATGTGTTGAATATAATAATTAATATAATGATTTTACTAAACTTAATCGGCAAAAAACATTAACCAACACGTAAATCAGACGCTCACTTTACTAGTAGCATATAAAAGCTACACATTTTTTTGTGCTGATGAAGCTGAAAAACATCATATAAAAATAACATAACTCTCAAAAATTCAAAATTAATTCATGCAACTGCTGATCATGAAACTTTATGAAAAGCTCTAACATACACATATCATAAGCTTTGATATATATCAATATTATCTTGCTAACAAACAAATCGGGCGTCGTCGGCCAAAAAATGGCATCGACAGCCTCTCTATACATGAGACGTCTTTCCTTTCAATCTCTCAATCGGGCGTGCGTCTCACCAACATCCTCTTGGGAAGACGGATCCCCTGCTCGAAGCCCGAGCATTCTCACAATAAGCAACGGTTGGTCTACGTAGCTTGTTGACATAAGTCAACCTAACGTCTTGCAGTCTTATTCCGTAGCAAGGGTTAGACGGGTTGCACCGGAAGGTCATGGCCGCCTGCGTGGACGACGTCCCCCTTATGTTTCGGTACAACACTTGGCTCACTCTCACTCCAGAACTCTGCCCAATTAATTTGGTTCAAAACAATTTTTAGAATTGCTTGTTATTTATTAATTTATTTATTTTTTTTGAACTTGGTTATTAATACAAGTATATTTCTTTTTTAAACAAAAGTTATATGATTGAGGGTAAAGTGTTAGTTTACCTGATGAGGGCAGGTGCCCGTAGGGCAGTACCTTTGATCAATGATGATGGGATTGGCAACATTTCTCATGACAAGGTTACTAAACACCAGATTCCGGGCATAACCGACGCTCTGCCGGGCCCACGACTTCACGCGGACCCCGTTTTGCGTCTTTGTGAATACAGAATTCGTCACCGTCACATTCTGCACCCCCGCCTCGTTGTAACTGTCCCCTAAACTTCCAACGCTAACCGTATGCACAGAAAAAGAAAATAAATAAATAAAAAACTCGTAAATAATTGAAATCGACTTTGGTATATAGATACTTAGCAAGCAAAGAAGCTAAGGAAGAACCTGATTCCGTGCCCGGGGCCGCAACCTATGCGCTCCAACCACACGTTCATGGAGCCGGGGCCTATGGATACACAGTCGTCCCCTGTCTGAATTATGGTGTCCGTGACCGTGACGCCTCTAGACGAGGCAATGTGGATCCCGTCAGTGTTGGGGCTCCCGCTCGGGGCCGTGACCCTCACGTTTCGAAGTTTTACATTGCTACTGTGGTTGATAGTGACATGTATCGTCTGGCTGTTGAACGATCTCAAGCCTCTCACGACCACATTATTGCACCACTCAAACGATAGCGACTGCAGATTATGTTATTAGTCGATATATATTCTTCTCTTAAAATATGCATACTTGCATCAGAAAATGTCAAAATTTTAAAAACAATGTAAATATAATTATGATATTTAATTGCAAAATTTCATTTTTGAGCCAATATGTATATCTTGGCCTCTATTATGGCTATAAATGAGTCGAGTTTGAGTCGAGCTGAGTTGAGCTCAACTCGTTAACTAAATGAGCCATTGAGCTCTGAGCTTGACTCGTTTATTAGTAATAACGAGTTGAATTATTAAAAAATGTAAAAAATCTTATTTTCGAGCTTTAATGAGATGAGCTTTCGATGATCTCGAGCTTATCTCGTTTATCAAATAAGTTGAGCCGAACTCGACCTTAGAACACGAGCAATTCGTTTTGTGTAACAACTCCAGGCTCTTCCAAAAAATATATGCGCTACTTTGGTGTTATCAAGCTTAGCACACTAATTTGTAAAAGTTACATATATATATAAAAATGTACACCGGTTTAAGCAAAATGACGATCTTACCCTTGCTCCGCCCGGGCACCGGTTGTACCGGCCCCGCCTGCACGACCAGAACTCCGATCCTCTGGCGTCGATTGTTCCCCCGACCAGCGTCAACCCACTAACTCTATAGAACAAAATCCAATATTGGGAGTTGCCGATCGCATAATAGTTATCGGGAGCCACAATAGTTCCTGCCATCTCGAACAAGATCCGGCTTCTGCACGGGCCCGTGAAGCTGAGCGGCCGAACTACAAACGTGCCCCTCGGGACCGAAACCGAGGCGGGCCTGGCCGAGCTGCAAGCGGCCGACCAGGCCCGTTGGAAGGCCACGGTCGAGTCCGTTCGGCCGTCACCTCTCGCACCGTAACGAGCCACGTTGTAGGCCGAGTTAGGGACTAAGTGAGAGGAAATCAAGGCTAGCAAGAGTTTCCATGAAAATAATCTAGGAGATATATTTGATTTAGGCATGTTAGTTATTTAGTTTTGTGTCTCGCACTTGTGAGATTGTTACAAGGGTGTTATGAAAATGTAAAAGGGGGAATTTGGGGTATATATATATGAGGTCTAATGGGGACAAGCGCAATTGGGTTACGCGATTAACATGGAGAATTGAAGTGACTTAGATCCCAATATCACATGGAGTACTGAGAATGTACGGGGACTACATATTAGTTGTCTTAATCTGCGTGGATATGTCATATTTTGGGAAATACTAAAGTTACGGAACTATTCCGTCGGATTTGAAACCGTTGAGTTATCATGTAATCGTCACAAATAGTTGATCTAACAGTTACAAACCCCAACAAAATAGTACCGTAACAGGACCCTAGAATCTCCCCGCATTTTTCTTGTAGAGTTAGTGGTGATCAAGAAGTAGTCGATTTATTCCGGTCTAATGGAAGGAACATCATATTATGGACTTTGTTTTTAAATTAGCACATTTTACTAGTTTGAAATTATGCATATTTACTCAAAATATTTATATATGTATATATATTTGACAAATGTCTTAGTAAAATGTTAAATATAGTGATGAAAATTCTTGGGACTTAAAATGGAATAGTACATTTAATTTTTTAAATTAATCAGAATGTCAATATTAGTGAGATCCAATTTTTATTGGCTATGAAGAGATCGCGGGATGTATGAATTAAATGCTGTGATCTAAACGCCATGTGACTTTTTATTTAATTCCTAACAAGAATCTTGATTAGCCAAGTTTCATAATTGGTTGATTTCTAGACTTAGATAAGATGCCATAGTTGGAAAAAAGTAGAGTGGGTTTGTTTCTTGCAAATATTATCTAAATTTCGGAATTTTTCATTTTCTGACCACTAAATCGTTTTTTAGGAAATAAAATTATTTTGGATATCATCAAAATCGGTATACTGGTTAATTATTCGTCGGCAATGATTCAAAATCGGTCTTCAGATTGCTGCCTCGATCTCTCTCATATTTGGATCGAGTTAGACGATGCCGCTGTCATCTCACTCTAGGTTCAACCACAATGCTCTGGGTTCAACCACAAAAAATTATATGCCACCTAAAAAATAGACACAGTCTAAAAAAATATATCATCCAATGTAAATAAAAGTAGAATGAGTCATGCTGATGTGGCAGTCAGAAACAGACGACCCAGGCTACCCTTAAGTCCATTTTAGACCTAAGTAGAGACCTAGTCTTTTTGCATTAGAGTGGATTTTGTTAATTTTACATAGTTTTATCCATGTCATCTAAGACATGTGTTTATTTACATGTTACATTGGCAAGACTAGACTCAATGAATTGTAGATGCTCTTAGGGCACTTGACAGATTCATCATCCACTCATTCAGATTAGAGCCATATTTTGATCGATTCGCTATCTGTTGGAGACAAAGCAAATCATGCTTTAGATTCAACAAGCAATTGTTTAGCAACAAAAGGAAAGCAAAATGGTAAAGCTGAGAAAATCTGAAATCTTTCTCATTAGGGTTTGTATACAAAGGTCTTTCTTATGTAGCTAGTTAAGAACTATATAGAAAGGGTAAAAGGATAAAGCAGCTCGTGATGAGCTGTGCATGGTGACAAAAGAATCCAATGGTTCTGGTACTGCACGTGGGTAAAAAAACAAAAGAGCATGTGATATGCATGCAAGGTAAAATGATGAGGAGAGTGAATCCACCTGTAGTAATTCTATTTGCTAACCCCACCCCCCCTCCCCCGCAGTTCGAGCGAGCTGAGAGGGTGAACATGCAACTTGTTTCTCATGCGAGCGAAGGGCTGACCAGAAAACAGTTTGGTGAGGATATCGACTGTTTGATCCATTGCGGGTATATGAAGAACAAAGATGGACTTATTAAGCACATTCTCTCAATGAAATGGAGGTCAACTTCAATATGTTTGGTACGACCCTGAATCACCGGATTACATGACATGAAGACAACACTGAGATTATCCACCCAAATGGTGGGTGAAGAAGGCTGTGGCACATAGGGGTGGGCAAAAAAACCAGATTTCCTGATCCCGAACCGGACCGAAATGGTCCCGTTCCGAAAAATACGGTTTCAATCGATTTTTAAAATTTTCGTGCCGTTCCGGTACCGAACTGGTTGAAACAATGTCGCCATCGGTTTTAAATTTTTTTTTCCCGAACCGTCCCATTTATCCTGTTTTATTTTTTTTTTTTGTACAAAAAGATTATATATATATTATTTATATTTATGTTAGTATTATATTTAATTATTTTTCAACTTCTTGTTTGTAGACTTGCAGTTGTGTTTCAATTCTGTCTTGGCAGGCTTTGTATTTTCTAAATGAAAGCCCCAAATGCCCAATACAATGATACACTCTTGGCAGTTGGCCAAAACATGAAAAAATTAAACA